TAGGCTGGGCTACAGGGCCCTTGCCCAGCTCGCGCCGGCTGGCTAGTTTTTTTGTATTTTTTAGTAGAGATGGGGTTTCACCATGTTAGCCAGGATGGTCTCGATCTCCTGACCTCGTGATCTGCCCGTCTCCACCTCCCAAAGTGCTGGGATTACAGGCTTGAGCCACCGCGCCTGGCAGGGATTCACCTTTTGCTAAATGTGTGAGCCGTGGGCTCGGCCCTGGGGGCACTTAGGAACATGACTAGTCTTCCCCTGCGGTGTGGAGGACCCATGTGCCACAACCCAGCTTTGTGCTCGGTGCCAGAGAGGCTTCCGGGGACAGGCAGGGCTGCGTGCAGCCTGGAAGGATGAGCCAGGCCAGGCGGGAAACAGAAGTCCAGGTAGAAGGGAGGAGCCGAATTGGGGTGCACTTCATATGGGCTCAGGCAGGTCAGCCTGTGGAATGAACAGATGCCAACATGCAGGCCGGCCTGGAATGTGGCAGGAGCGACAATGGCTTCCCGTTTCTGGGAATTCTGCCAGTGCCTACGGTGGTGCCTTTTTACTTGGCTTACTTTTTTTCTCGACGTGCAGGCAGCATCTATCCCAGACTACAGGGGCCCTAATGGAGTGTGGACACTGCTTCAGAAAGGGAGAAGTGTGAGGTAAGTGGGCCAGGTGCAGCCTCCCACATAGGCTGAGCAGAGGCAGCATGGGCCTGAGCTCCGGCTGTCCTCACCTTGCCTTCCTTTCTGCCTGGCAGTGCCGCTGACCTGAGTGAGGCCGAGCCAACCCTCACCCACATGAGCATCACCCGTTTGCATGAGCAGAAGCTGGTAAGAGCCCTGGGTGGCTGGTACACTTGCCTGGGACCTTGGTGCGCAGTGGGCAACTGCATTCTCCCTCTGTCTGCCAGTTGACTCCCATCATGAGCACCCACTAAGTGGGTTAGGCCCCAGATTTGATCCTCCCATGCTTCCTCTCCAGGACAAAAGGGGAGCACCCCCTCTGGAACCATCCCATCTACAGCCAGCCTCAGCCCCAGAGCCGCTGGTGGCCTTTCCCCTTTGTGATTCCATTGCATTTTTCTGTGGACCTCAGAAGCCATCCTAGTCACAGGGGAGGCTTATAGGACATCTCTGGGGACCTTCTGCTGAACACCCTCAACCAAGGGGTGTAGGGGTTGACCTGCCTAGGTCCCCAGGCACCTGAAATGTCATGACCCAAGAGAGCATGGATCCGGGGTGGAGTGGCCCTTGCCAAAGCCCTGAGCCACTTCCCATCCTTGCCTTGACAGTGCAGCGTCTTGCCCTCCCAGCCACTCCAGGTGCATCAGGGCTGGAGGAAGGACATAGCCCCTCCCCACCACAGGCCCTCTTGAGTCCTGGTGGTTGGACCTGTTGTGTGTTTTACTTTCTTTTTTTTTTTTTTTTTTTTGAGACGGAGTCTCGCTCTGTCGCCCAAGCTGGAGTGCAGTGGCCGGATCTCAGCTCACTGCAAGCTCCGCCGCCCAAGTTTACGCCATTCTCCTGCCTCAGCCTCCCGAGTGGCTGGGACTACAGGCGCCTGCCACCTCGCCCGGCTAGTTTTTTGTATTTTTTAGTAGAGACGGGGTTTCACCGTGTTAGCCAGGATGGTCTTGATCTCCTGACCTCGTGATCCGCCCGTCTCGGCCTCCCAAAGTGCTGGGATTACAGGCTTGAGCCACCGCGCCCGGCCGTGTGTTTTACTTTCTAAGGCTCTCTGGGGGGTTGGAGCTACCCCTGGTCTTGGGAGCCACTGGCTGGCCTCATAACAGCCTCGCTGTGGCTGAGTACTGACTTCCCCGTCACCACCTGTTCTGCCTTCCAGGTGCAGCATGTGGTGTCTCAGAACTGTGACGGGCTCCACCTGAGAAGTGGGCTGCCGCGCACGGCCATCTCAGAGCTCCACGGGAACATGTACATTGAAGTGAGCAGTCCTGCGGTGACCCGGGGTCTCCATGGGCAGGCGGGTCCCACTCACTGTGCCCTCTTGCCTCCAGGTCTGCACCTCCTGCGTTCCCAACAGGGAGTACGTGCGAGTGTTCGATGTGACGGAACGCACCGCCCTCCACAGACACCAGACAGGCCGGACCTGCCACAAGTGTGGGACCCAGCTCCGGGACACCATTGTGCACTTTGGAGAGAGGGGGACGTTGGGGCAGCCTCTGAACTGGGAAGCAGCGACTGAGGCTGCCAGCAGAGCAGACACCATCCTGTGTCTAGGGTCCAGCCTGAAGGTACGTGCTGATGACACCAGGAATGAGCCGAGCCCCCGCCTGCCCGAGGGTGTCCAGCTCTGTTGCCCAGCACTCTACAGACTTGTCCCCTGTGTGTGTGCTGTGTCTGTCTGTCTGTTTCCGCAGGTTCTAAAGAAGTACCCACGCCTCTGGTGCATGACCAAGCCCCCTAGCCGGCGGCCGAAACTCTACATTGTGAACTTGCAGGTAACTTGGGTTCTGAGAGTCACATCCTTAGACCTGGGTCTTAGAATGCAGAGCTGGAGACACCCCACACCCATGCACCAGGGCAGTCTGATAGGGCCCCCGTGGGTGCTCAGGGAGCACTGACCGAGCCCACGGGCCGAGGCTGACAGGCCACCAGGAAGGGTTGGGCTGTTCTTACTCTCACTTGGCTTTCCCTGTCCTCAGTGGACCCCGAAGGATGACTGGGCTGCCCTGAAGCTACACGGGAAGTGTGATGATGTCATGCGGCTCCTCATGGCCGAGCTGGGCTTGGAGATCCCCGCCTATAGCAGGTGAGTAGACCCTTGCAGCAGCCCGCTTCCCTGCACCTCTGTGTGCTGGGCCGTGTCTGTCTTCTCTCGTGAGCTGAGCGTGGAGGAAGCTCTGAGGTGTTTGCAGCGGTGTCTGAGGCATGACTGAAGCGTGGTGGTCTCCAGAGGGCCTGACCTCAGTGGTTCGCGGAGACCCTGCGTGTGCCACTCCTGCCCTGGCTGATGTGGCACACACAGTCCCCGCGGGGAGAGGGATTCTGCCCACGTGCTCCTGCTCCAGGCCTCCCCGTGGAGCTCTTCAAGATGCCTGGTGGGAAGCATCTCGAGGGGACGAGCACTTGGCAGCTCTGGTCAGACAGAATCTGTGTGCTTGGTTTTGGGAGTTGGCGTACTTTGGGAAAGCTTAAACAGACTGTGCCTTAATACAGAATTTGTGATAATTTAGACTTGGTGTATGTATTGAGTAAAAAGTTTACACTCTCTTTCTCTGTGAATTTTCAGGGTCTTATAGGGGAAATCAATAACTTCTTTTAATCAAAGGGTTCAAGAAATTAAGGATCCCTTCACCTTCTGGGCCTGGCACTTCTTGTATGTTATGTGTGTGGTGTTCTGTGATGTGGGCTATCGTGTACTGTATTTTTTTTTTACATTAACTTAGCTCATTTTCCTTATCAGTGCGTATCTGTATCTTAAGTTATGATCTGTGGTTCTGCATCTCAGTCAGACACATGCTTTCTTCACGGTGTCGTCTGTAGGCCACGCCTCCCTAGTCAGCTGGGAAGGGGGAGAGGGTCTGGTCCACCTGCCCCTGGCGGTACAAATGGAAGGTGGGGCCCAGAGTTGCTAGTGACTCATCCCTGGAGACGGAGGCAGCCCTGGGGCCACTGCTGCCCTGTCCTGTGTGTGCACGCCGCTCAGTGGTGGACGAGGACACGGAGTTCTGAGGAGACCAAGCTAGTGTGGGTGCTGACCTTTGAGTCACCACCTAAGAGGTGACCTCTCCCACATCCGTTCTGCAGCTTGATAACAATGAAGCTGCTACCAACCAGAGCCCAGCCGCAGTGGACACAGGGGAGGGAACAGGATGGGAAGGCAGGGACCGCAGGCAGCTTTCCCGAACTGGGGCGGGTGTGGCTGTGAGAGGCTCCCAGGCCCGCCTGATGCCGCTTTCCCTTTTTGGCAGGTGGCAGGATCCCATTTTCTCACTGGCGACTCCCCTGCGTGCTGGCGAAGAAGGCAGCCACAGTCGGAAGTCGCTGTGCAGAAGCAGAGAGGAAGCCCCACCTGGGGACCGGGGTGCACCGCTTAGCTCGGCCCCCATCCTAGGGGGCTGGTTTGGCAGGGGCTGCACAAAACGCACAAAAAGGAAGAAAGTGACGTAACCTGGTGCTCGATGAAGAAGAGTTGGCACTTTGCAGATGGCCAGTGTCACGGTGAAGGCTGGGTTGTCCCCACGGGTCTAGTGAGAACTCTTTGGGGATGACGTTTTCACCGTGACATTTTTAGCCATTTGTCCTTGTGGAAGCCCCTTGCACTGCTGCGGTTGTCCCCTGATACGACTTGGCCATGGAGGGCACCTGCCCATCCGGCCTCTATGTCAAGAGGTGGCAGCCGCACCTTTCTGTGAGAACGGAACTCGGGTTATTTCAGCCCCGGCCGGCAGAGTGGAAGCGCCCAGCGGCCTTTCCTCACTCGCCAGGCCAGTCTCAGGGCCTCACCCTATTTCTACTACTTAACGAAAAAGTGTGAAAACTTTATAGAACCCTCTCTGTACTGGACGTGCGGCAGAGGGGTGGCTCCGAGCCTCGGCTCTATGCAGACCTTTTTATTTCTATTAAACGTTTCTGCACTGGTTTCCAGTGTCCCCAAGTGGTCGGCGCGGGCGCCCCGGGCTCAGGTCTGCTGCCTGGCAGCGCGGTCCTGGCTTAAAACCCGCTTGATTGGAGAAGGGACAACTGTAGATTATTGTGCCAAAAAATAACTCAGAAAAAAACTCCCCTGGTTGGGACAGCGCCCCGTGGAGGTTCCCGGAGGTGGCGGCGGTGGGACGCCCCCTCGCGGCACTGCCCGGCCATCCCAGCACCAGGTGTGGACGGTGCGGAGAGGCCAGGTGTGGGCCGGAGGCGGGTCTCGGGCCGCGCGGCACGCGCCATTGGCTGTGCGTTTGGAGGGGGTGGGACTCTGTTAGGGGCTCACGCCATTGGCCGCGCGCGGAGGTGCGGTGGGGCGCGGCCCTCGGGGGTGGGGCGCCGGCCGGAGGGCGCGCGGCGGGGCGGGGGCGGTGGGGGCGGGGCTCGGGCCGAATGGCGCACGCTATTGGCCGTGTGCAGCGGGTGAGGCCCGCGTGACGGCGGCTGAGCGTGCGCCTGGCGGGGCGGGTGGCGGCGCTGGAGTCGCCGGGAGCTGCCAGGCTGTCCGCGCCGCCGCTGCGGGGCCATGATCCGGAACGGGCGCGGGGCTGCAGGCGGCGCAGAGCAGCCGGGCCCGGGGGGCAGGCGCGCCGTGAGGGTGTGGTGCGACGGCTGGTGAGCGCGGGACCGGGGCGGGCCGCGGGGACGCCGGGGCTGGCTTCCTTCCGGGGCGCCGCGCCAGCCGTTGCCCGGGGACCGGGCCCGCGTTCTGGGTGGCGTCCTCGTCCGGCGTGGGCCGGGGCTGGCAGGCTGCGGGGCGCGCCCGCTGGGAGGGTCGGGCTGCGGAGGCTCCGCGCCCTGCTGTGGGCGCCCCCGTCTACTCCTGGCGGAGGCCCCGCCCGGGCACGCCGACCTCCGGTGCAGCCACTGCGCTGAGATCTGGAGCCCCGGCCTCCCTGCTTCTCCGTAACCACCAGCAACCAGCTTGGCCGGCTCCGGTCCAGGGGTTCCCCTGGCCTCCGGGCGAGCGTCGCTGTAGGTGGACATCGGGTGTGACCTGCCTGTCCGGGACCCGCAGTGAAGCCCGCGGGCTCCCGGGTCCTCCTCCCCGGGGCTAGAATGCAATCGGTGTTCCCTGGCTAGTCACACAGAGGGCATTGTTTTAAGAAAAGTTCGGGGTTGTCAACAAGTGAAAGAAAGATGACCGTTACTGATAATTTGCTACCTCTGACCCTTTCACGTGCCTGCCGCATGGAATCCCCGAAGCAAGCGCCTCTGATTAGCCCTTCCCAGGAGAGCAGGCAGGGCCTTGTTCCCTGTGTCTGAGTCACCTCTGGGAGAAGGAATGTGGCTTTGTGTCAGTAGACTTTGACCTTGCCCTGACCAGGCCACAGCCCCATTCCAGGCTGTGGTCCCCTGGCCTAGCCTCTGACCCCTCCTCCCCTCCAGCCTGTCCAGTGGGTACATGGGCCCGACAGACTTCACCCTGCATGTCTGCTGGGACTCCGTGCACTGTGGCAGGGGTGCTGGGAGGAAGCAGTGGTGTGCAGTGGAGCAGCTCTGCACTGTGTGGGCTGCCAGGGTCACACCTCTCCTGGAGAGGCAGGGACAGCTTCCTCCACTCTTGAGGGGATGGGCAGCTGCTGTAAGTGGCGAAGAAGCCAGGGCAGCGGGGCCCAGTTGGTGACAGGGCTGTGTAGCTTTGGGCTTGAGAGTTCACATGTTAGCAGACCCAGATTTATGAATGAAAACTCTAGAACCAGGTGGCAAGGCAGTGGCTGTACACCCTTAGTGTTAAGCCTGGGGAGCTTCAGAGGCCGTCGGGGAGGAGGAAACAGGATTTTCAGCGTGATTCCCAGGGTTTTATTTTGTGGTTGGATTTGTTTTGGGTTAGCCCCAGGGACTGTTTGCTTATCGTAGTCTAGGATCCAACCCTACCCCAAGAGTTAACATTGGCCTATTTTAAAGTGACTGCCCTGGGCAGTTGATATTCGGTGAGGGGATAGGACATGTGGCCCTGCAGCTCACCGTGGGCTCCAGTCTGTCCTGCACCCACCAGTCCTCTAGACCCAGCCAGGCCTTGACGTCTCTGCCCCCGCCACCCTTTCTAGATCTGGCACAGGGGTCCCACCGTCAGGCCCAGGAGCCAGTGGGGTGGAGAGCTGAGCACCTACATCTTCTGAATCCCAGTCCCAGGGCTCCCAGCAGCAGCTTCTCAAAGTGCTTCCTAAGGAGTCCTCAGAGGAGCAAAACTCTGCCCCTAAGCCACAGGGCCACCTGGCCCCCACCCTTGGCACAGGCACCACCCACTCTCTTTGTCTCCACAGCTATGACATGGTGCATTACGGCCACTCTAACCAGCTGCGCCAGGCACGGGCCATGGGCGACTACCTCATCGTAGGCGTGCACACTGATGGTACGCACAGGTGGCCTCGCCCACCCACGGCCCCCCAGCCCTCCTGTGGGTTGCGCCCATTGACTGAAAGCCTGCAGGCCTGGGCCGCCTTGCCAGGGCTCAGCTGTAGGGGAGAGCACTGTAGGCTCACCCAGCCCAGCCCCAGCTGAGGATGGCCTAATGCCTTTCCCATCTTGCACTTCCTGTCCCAGCTAAAGAGAAGGGGCACCTGCTCCCCACCACTGCCAGCATGGCTCCCAAGCCTTCAGGGGCTGAGCACCTGCTCTTCAGAAGGAATCTCTGCCTTTGCCTGAGACCCTCACGGGGGAGACAGCCACCCAGTTGACCAGCACTAGTGGGCTAAGGGCCAGGCGAGAGAGACAGCCTGTCCCCACCGGCCCTCTTGTGTGGCTACAGCTGGGTGCTGGGAAGGGGCCTTGTACGTGAGCAGCCAGGTGGGCTGGGTCCCCAGTCTCCTTGTTGTCCTTTTCCTAGAGGAGATCGCCAAGCACAAGGGGCCCCCGGTGTTCACTCAGGAGGAGAGATACAAGATGGTGCAGGCCATCAAATGGGTGGACGAGGTGGTGCCAGCAGCCCCTTACGTCACTACGCTAGAGACCCTGGACAAATACAACTGTGACTTCTGTGTTCACGGCAGTGAGTGGTGGGCCTGGGGCCTGGGGGCCTGGGGGCATCAGGTGGCTCAGGATCAGATCTGCTGGTGGGACATCTGGGAACAGGGGGCCTCCATGCCCTTCGAGGATCTGAGATATTTCCGGGCCCCTACCTAGAAATGGGCACGCGGGCAGGCCAGGGGCTGAGAGGGTCCTGGGCTCTGAAGGGTCTGATGGCTTTGGGTTAAGGATCCTTGTCCTTGTGTGTCACTGCTTAGATGACATCACCCTGACTGTAGATGGCCGGGACACCTATGAGGAGGTAAAGCAGGCCGGGAGGTACAGGTGAGTCTCCACCGTGGACCTGGCCATCCAGGGAGCTGGACACAGGGCCCCCTCCTGGCTCGTGCTTTGCTATTTCCTGGGAGCCCGTGAGGGGAGCGTCTGGGCCCTGAGCCATGTTCCTCACTCCAAGGACCGGGAACTTGAGGGATGGAGGTGCCATTGTGGGGTGGCCTGGAGGCCCTCACCATTTGGTGCTGCAGACCTGTGGCCTCAGGGCTCCAAAGGCACAGCTTTGTGAGGTGGCAGCTGTTGAACTCGGGGGATGTGGCTGGCACTGCTGCGGAGCTGGCACTGTATCTGAATTACCAGACGTCAGGGACATGAGGCCAGTGGCTCCTGCACGGGATGCTGCAGCTGAGAATTCACTCGGCTGCAGATGCTCAGCGTTCAGGACGTGGGCGTGAGGGAGGCGGGGAGCAGAGCCACTGCCCAAGTGCCCGCCTTCTCCCCGGCATTGCACACCTGAGCCCCAGCAAGGGTCCTTTTCCATGCTCCTGTCACTCCCTTTAGTCAGTAAAAGCGTGGAAGCCTTCCCCACGTTCCCAACCCAGGTTTTCTGTTATAGCCTTGCGCAGGGAGGGGACCCTCGTCTTTGGGGCAGCCATGGGTTCTGCCGCAGCAGGGCCGCTAGTGTCCCTAGTGGTGGTAGCAGGAGACAGCCTTCCAAGTGTCCCAGGCTGAGACCCCACTCCCGCTCTGTCCCCCAGAGAGTGCAGGCGCACACAAGGGGTGTCCACCACAGACCTCGTGGGCCGCATGCTGCTGGTGACCAAAGCCCACCACAGCAGCCAGGTGAGTCAGGGGCGGAATCCCCAAGGCCCCTGGGTCAAGGTCACCAGGGGAAAGGAGGGGCACCTCCCTGCCCCCTCAGGGCCCTCCTGCCCACTGCTCCCCATCCCCACCCGGTCCTGGGGTGGCCACGCCTAGAGGGCAGGCACCTCAGCGCCGCTCTGCCCTTCTGTGCAGGAGATGT